TTTTATTTTAAAGTTTCAACCAATTAATGCAAATGGTTCATATTTTGGTCCACCAAATTATTGTACATCATTTTTTACAAGTGGCATATGGATGGGTTTAACATCAAGTTTACTTTGTTTAGGTATATTATTATTTGGCATTTATCGTATGATGAGTATTAAATCGAATGATCGATTTGATGATCCAAAAGGAAAACCCTTAATTATCAAAGCACAAGAATGAAATTTTCTTTTCGCTTTTTTTTTTATTCGACTTATTGTGCAATAGAGATTTTATTGATATTTATTCTACTATTTAATTAACCATTTATTTTTTCTTTTCCGTTGTATTGTGATGATAAATATTCGAACAATATCGGTGTTTTTTTCCTTGTCTTTTTCCTTTCGATATTAAATCTATGTTTGTGTGTAATTAATTTTAGATTAATTTTTTTTTCTAAAACTAAAAAAAATAAAGAAAGATCAATGCAGATTAAATTAGTAATTGAACATATTGAAGATGACGAAGAAATTCTTCAAGATTTAAATATTGATTCTAAAGATTCATCTTTAATTTATCTTCAATCATCCTCATCGATATCATCATGGATTGTTAATTATTATTTTACAAAAATTTATTCAAATGAAATAAAACTAATAAATAATAAATATTTACAACCAAATAATATAATTGGTTTTTATGATATGTTTATTATTTATCAACTAATTCAATCTTCATCATTATTTGAATTTTTTCAATTATGTAAAAATAAATTAAAACAAATTAAAAATGATTTAATACTTGAAAATTATAACAATTATTTAAATCGATGTGGTTTAATTGATATCATTGATCTTTTTCATCAATTAAAATTAGAATCATTTATTAATACAATTATTTTATCGATTAATAATATTAAAAATGATATTGATCAATTATTTTTCGAATATTTATTAGAATTATCATCATTATCATGTTGTATTTATGACGTTAAAACAAAATTGATAACATATGAAACAAAAGAAAATTTATTTAAATTAATTGATAATAGAAAAATATCGATTGAACAAACAAATAGAAAAGTGAGTATTAATAAAAAATGTTCCTATTAATCAATTAAACATTATCGACGTCGACTTATATCTTTAATTATTCGAAGG